TTTGGCATGGAGACCTGTATGTGGAGGGTTTACGATGTGATTTGGGATTATGAGTTAATAAAATAGCCAGACTGGAGCTGAATAAAAATTGGAACACCATATCCCTCCTGCAGTATAAAGAGAGGCTCTGACTGCACTGCTGTAAAATGGTAGGAAAGAGGAATAAGGAAATCGGAGACTCAAATCAAAACACCAGCCATGTGTTTTCACAAGGGAAGAGCCATCACTGTTATTTAATAATTGTTTTGATAATTTGCAGAATAAAATATTGTGCTCACATTAATGGTTTGTATTATCTGTTTTCTTTTCAGGGGCATTAATGAAGAAGAAGTTGTTCTTAAAACAAACAAGCAAGTTTACTCCTTGCTGTTGCGTGCAACTGCTAACAGAAGTATGACTCTGCTAGAACGAATAGAGGTAATCTTAAATTTACTGGAACAGCTGACTCAAAATAACGAAGCTAGTAATGGAGGAATTCAGTGACTGAAATGCTGCAAAACAGCAGAAACAGTGCCTTGCCACACATGGGATCAGTGGTGGTTTTTCCCATGTGATATTTTTGTTTATCAGCAGGTGATAACGTCACCTACGTTGTACACCTGGGAAAGAACAGGGATTCCTTTTTATCCTGCACTAACTCTGTAATGGTTCGGTTACTCGCGTTTCTTTGTTTGAAATGCCAATTTGAGGTTCTGGATAGAAACGTTAACTATTTTCTATGTTGGAGAAATTCACGATTTTTCCAGGTAATGGGCTTTGCAGTGATATAAATGTTTTGCATAAAAATGTAATCTCACAGTTGCTCTGGTTTGATATTTAATGAAATATACTTTGTAAGCAAGGCATATTGGAACACTTTAACTGGTAACGTGAATGGACGTTGTACAAGGGAATTTCTGTTGAATGTGTGGACACACGAACACACTACTTCTATTACAGCTACTATCCTGCACAAAAATGTGTGCCTTTCTAGCTTTGATGCAAGACTGTTGCAAATATTAGCCATTACTGGGACTGCATTTACCCGAGACAGTGAATGGTTTTAGCTGTGTTTGAATTGATCACGAATAGTATTATCTTTTTCAGACTTGAAACTGTGAATAAATGAGAGCATATTTTTAAATAAAAAATTATTTATTAAATATAAACTCATGAATCAGTCTGTCTTGTTTTTATTGGTTATGACCCTCATCAGAGAAGCGAAGTGCTCACCAGAATTAAAACTATTTGAAAGGCAGTGGGGGCCGGGGCGGGGGGTGGAATCAGTAAAACCAGGCCTAACAAATGAGTACAGTCTTAATCTCAGCATGTGAGAACTGTTTTTTGGAAAGAATATAAAGTTTTCAAAAACACAACATCAGATGTTTTAATGTGTTTCTACAAACAAATGTGGTTCGTTACGTTATGAAACTTTATTTAAAGGTGTTAATAGTGTTTACATGTGTGTACGTGTACATATGGTTTTAGGTTTTTTTAAACTCTCTACTTAATACACAAGTAGTGAATTAACTCTTTATGCTGCTTGTTTTGATGAAGTGATTCGTACTCTCATGGTGAGATACAGAATGATGTGGGTTTTGTACAGGGCATGTTTTCACCCAGAAAACCCCAGCTTCTAGAAATTTCTGTCCTGACAATTTAAATGTGGTTTTACAAGTGCACCCTTAGATCTGTCTTCAGAAGAAACCCAATCTTTCTGATACAACACAGAGCACAAATGCACCCGAGAGAAGCAGAAGCACCTTGTGAAAGGGTGTCGTATGTATCTCTTCTGTTGCTTCTGATTTGGAACGACTGATTTGAAAAAGAAGATTTCTGTGTCTCTTCCTGCTTTCCACCTCGGGGCTGGCTCTGTGCAACACCCCTTACACTCTCCTTGCTTTTGGCAAGGTCAAAGCTGCAGAAAATTGAAGGGCAGGTTTCTGAAGCAAGATGGCTAAAAGCATGATGCTTGAAATTACCATCAGGAAGCCTGGCAGGGGTGAGGAGTAGAAGAAATATGTTCATGACAAAGTCTCTTTGGAGCTGAGGGGTGACTAAGCAAGACTGCTGAGATCAGTAACAGGCTCTCAAGTGCAGAGAAGGGAGAGAGAGTCCTGGTTAGAGAACAGGCTACTGCTCTGCCTGCCACCAGCAGATTGCTGATAGTAAGGGGAAACTCCATCCGAAACCCTCTGCTCAGCAGGCAGAGGTCAGTGCGTGCACTGCTGCATTTTTCACTTCATTCAGGAGGGGAAGTCTAGAAGCTTTGTCCCAAAGAAAACTGTCAGCCTAGAACATAGTCTGCTGCTCCTGGGACTGAAACAGGTGCCTAAATGGGTTTTTTTTTGAAGAGATTTTGCCTGCCTGAGTGCATTTTACTGGCATTGCACAAATCCCCAATCCTGCTGATTTTAGAAGCAGCTGCTAGCATGAGATACCAGCATGTGCTTCTGCAGGCTTGGGGTGTTTGGTACATGACTGTCAGCTGGTTGATGAGAAAAGCCTCAGCATAAGCTGTTGAGAACAAAGAGGCTGTTACTGTCATTTTCTGGGGGAAGCTGTGTAACCTCTTCTTACTACTTGCATTTTACAGTACTTCACTGAGTCCCCTAATATGGATCAGGTCTGTAAGCTGCCAAATTACTTACTAATATTAAGTCTTAAGCCCTCTCTGCTTTAAGAATGCTACAGGGGTTGGGCAGGGCCCATCCTGCCCATGCTCTGCAGGAGAACAGCTCCTGCTTCTTAATCACACAGGCAGACTTGGCATTGCAAAGCTGGCTGCTGGGAGCATGGCCTCTTCCTTAGAGCAGCATTTGCAGGCAGGGAAGGGGCTCACGCAGCGCTCTAAGGGCAGGTTGGTAGTGGGTAAAGTGACCAAGGGCCTGGTGTATAGAATATTGTATGGATCTTCTGAAAATATAAATGCCCCAGCCTGGGGAGAACTCAGTGGCAAGGGTGGTTCTGGGAAGGGTGGCTGTTTCAGCTGTGGAAAGGTTGCTTGGATAAAGCCACAGCAGGCTGCAAAGGGATAAAAAGCCCTTCAACTGCTGCAACTCTACTCCCTTTTCCCTGGCATCTATTACAAAGTGCTACTATGAACCAAGTCATAGGGCTCATCTGTGTTCATTGTTTGTCAGATGTGGCAGCTCAGTCACAGCAACCGTTTGTGTGGCCTCCATATCCCATAGCAAATGCCAGCTCTACTCTTCTGTTGCAGGTCAAGTCTCCTGAGTTATCTTCCATTTGCCACAGGTCAAGCAGGAACACACCATCTATCTGATGTGGCAGATGTAAGGCAGGCCCATTTCCTCCCAGAGCCCTTTGCGCTCTCATTTTTATGTTGTTATATTACATGTGGTAAGTACGTGTTACTTGCCAGTGATGGTTACTGACAGTTTGTGCTGGAAAGACAGGTAGGAATAGGCCTGAGCTGATGAGTGAGACAACATGATGTAACTTACACTTGCAAAAGAATTTGCTTCTGTTCCCAGTTCTTGCTCTCTTCTCCTCTTGAGCCTGTCTCCCCTTCTTCCTCTTCCCCAAGGCACTAGTTCATGCAAACCTTCTCCTAGCTGCAAGTAGTACTGCAGGGGATTTGCAGGGGATTTGAACAGTCTTCCACATCCTCAGTATGCCATGGATTTTGTTTTTGAATGAAGATATGAATGGTACTGCAGGCTCTACGTTATAGTGATGCTGAATCTCAGTGTTTAACTGCAATAGTCTTGAAAAAAAATAAAGGCAGAGAAAGTCAACAGCTGCTGCGTAATCATTCTCTTCCTTCTCTTCCTGCGGGCATGTCTACACAGTCATGCAGCTACATCCAGTTACCGCAGCGATTCTAGTGTCCTACAGGATGCTCTTCTTCAATGATGAACTATTCCTCTGTTATCTTCCAGCAGGTAGAACTCAGAAGTACCTCTGAGATTCTACTTCATCTCAAGAAGTTGAACTGCTTTATAACACAAAATGTTTGTCTTATTGTGCCCAGTCTGATGAATCCAAATACACAATTTGAAATTACCTCAGTTTATATTAACATAATAAGGTTCAGATTAACTGTTATTCAAGGTACAGAGCATTTGACCTAATTGGAAATTCAGGTCATAAACCCAGAATTAAGCTAATAGAAACATACAGCAAATGAGGATTTCTCTGTTATTCAATGAACCTCAGCACTATACTAACAACATGAATGATTTTCATAATATTCTCAATTATAATCCTCATGATTTATATCTTCTATGAATTTCTTAGCATTAGCGGAGGTAGCATTAGTGCGAAATAGGATTACTTTTTCTCCTTTCACAGATAAACAATTCAAGCATAAACCACATCCAGAACAGACAACTCTTAACACCATTATTAATGATGATAAGCCAGTTTATTTTTCTGTTAATAAATCCTCCTTCATTACAGGAATAGAAACCAAAAACTAATTTAAGACCCTGAACTGTAAGGATACCCAGTAGCGACAGCTGACCTGCTATTAGCTCCACACAGTGCAACTTCACTGCAAGAATTGTCCTATTCCATTGAGAAACTACAATCATCATTTTCAATAAATATTTGAAAAGCAGAACAATGAACAAGTAAGCTTTACAACAGAAAATACTTCATTGTAAGTATGCTTTTCTTCTACCCCCCAAAAAGTACATGTAAAACTGATGATACAGAGAAATTAAAACCTTACCTTATGTGCTAGGAGATCCCTGAGGTGATACATTGAATTTATTTCAATATACTACCCTGATGCAGAATTAGCCTCCCACAACTAGTTTTCAAGGAATGCCTACATAAAATATGTACACTGCATACAAGAGAAAAGGGGAATAGCTAGATGCTGGACAAATTCTACATTTCTTAGATGTTTAGATGCAAGGTTCTCACACCAGGCCCTGACAAGGACAGTGTTGCATATTCTTGAAAAATACATTTCTTGCAGGACAACAGGTTCTGCAAAATGGAAAAGCCTTCTACAGCACCATATTCACCTTCAAATGCAGGCTGTGCTCTTACTTAGATAAACAGTTCTGTAAGTGAAGTGCTTTTTGGATCCCAGCAGCAAGGTCTCGGGGAGTCGGACTCTCCGCAGTAGAGCTAACCAGGATTCCTGCCGCTTCCATGGCTTCAGCAGTTGTCGGACCGATAGCAGCAAACTGAAGTGACATTATTTACAGTTACAATAGCATAGTCAGCTCTTACTAGCTAGTTCAGTACATACCCTTCCTTCTTTGCTGACATTGTCAGTGTATCAACTTGCATGGCTGAGCTTACTAAACTGTATTAACCATTTCAGGTTGAAGACTTTCAGGATTAAAATCCGCTTATCAATTGAGCTACTTAGAAATTACTTAGGAAAGATTATTATTTATCTTGCCATTACAAACATTTAAAGCTCTTAGTCCCACAAAACAGGAAAAGTGAGAGAAATTTTAATATGCCTCAGCCTGTAATTGCCGATTCAAGCAAGAACTATCCACACCTTCACATCATTAAGAGAAAATAAAGCCTTACCCAGTGGAGACGGGGCAATTTAGTTGGGGAAAAAATACTAGGTGAAAACAGTTCCATTTAGTTTTTTTAAAAAAGGCCCTTAGCTGTGTAACAAGATTTGCATTTGCTATAACCTTTTTTTTTCCAGAGAAATAAACACCAACAAAAGAGAAAATGAAGGTTTGTAATGGGTGTAACAGCTTTCCTATCTCTCATTCGCCCACCCCAAACTTACTCTCTATTGTGAGAAGATAGATACCTTGATATGACTGATAAAATCCCCCGAAAGCTTCTGAAGGTGCTGGAGACAAAACTTGACACCAGATGGACTGAAGAACACGATGCTTTCTGGAATTCCCTGAGTAAAAGTAACCATAGGTTGGCATAGTTTACTCACTGTTACAGCAGTATATCAGTACACTGTCACATAAATCCCCTCAACTGTCTCTACGTGGATGTGAAGTGTTTTATTGATGAGAAACAGCAGTTAAGCCAACAGAAAGGGTTTCCTGTGGTGCAGCCAGCCTGCCAAACCCCCATTCTACCACAGGATGCTGAAATTCAGGTATGACTTTAAGCAAATACTTTATAAAACAAGCACTTGCTGATAAATGTACTGAAAGTGGTCTGGAGCCGTACTCATCTTCCTGTTTAGCAAGAAAACTCAGCAAGTTATTTCCCTAAATCCATTCCCATCTATCTCACATTCTGCATGTAGTCTCTGTTTCCCAGCTCATGTTGTTTGCCCCGAGATGCTCTGGCAAAGAGGAGGTGATGTCTTAAAGCTGCAGGCCCCTGGAAGGGCTTTCCCTCTCAGAATAAGGCTGCCTTAAGATAGCAGCAGCAATCTTCTGTAGCCAAATGAAACTGCAAAATTCTGTCTGGAGTGAAGGTCCCAAGCTCTTGAGCTGCAGACCCAAAGCACATGCTTGCTTTATCATGATTTTCTGTCTGACAAGAAAGATAAACTAGTTCCACTCAAACTACATCTGTTGTTATTTTATAGTGCATGACTTGGAAGCTAGCCTTAGCTCATGGAGGCCAGAATGACAGTTTAACACAGTGCTGTTCGCTGTCTCACAAAGTGCTAAACACTTGTCATTTTATGTCAGCTCTCCATGCACTAAATATATAAGCACAATATCATCAGTTAACAACAACTCAAAAGTGCATGGGAAACACATTTTAACAGCTTTACACTGAAACTAACAGCTAACTGCAGCAAGCGAGGAGTTCCATAAAAAGAGTTCAGAGAGTTACAAAATGCATATGTACTATTGACTCGCTTTTATAACTGCTATACACTAAATACCGTGGGGTTCAGAACTGCAATATCCACCTGGGAACACCAGGATACTACAACTTATCAGTTAGACCGCCCGTGCCATAACCTTCTGGGACCTCTTGAAAAAGAACTTTAAAAATCAGTATGTAATTTAACAAGACCTTAATGCACATATTTTAAAAAGAGATACAACATGCTCAAGGAGGCCAAGTTTCTCTAAGAAGGAAAGCCTGCATTTCGAATAAAATTAATCCTACATATGATGTAGGCTCCTACAAATGAAAAATTCAGAAAGCCAGTACTGAAAAAACAAAAACACTTCTTAGTATCTTCCAATCTTTTACAATGCACTGATCCTTGATTAATGACATTTACTGGATAGTTTTAAAAAAAAAATTAATAACAATTGGAGCAAATATATCTCAGTATACTTGTCAATAGCATGTCACTTGGAATTCTAACACTTAAAATGAGATTCATAAATTGGATAATCAGAGAAAGAACACTGAAACTATGTAAGACGGATAACTACTACTGGATTCTGATTTGTAATATACAGCAAAGATGCCCAGTGATCTTTCAATAACACTAATAAAAATTAATAATAAAGCCGTTCAATAAACAGCCTCCCTAAATGTAATTTCTGACACAGTACTACTTAAAAAGCAGTCTTGGCCAGCACAAAGGAATAAACTGAATACATTAATTATTTATGCAGTTATTTCCCAGTAATTTTGAAACAAACATATATTTTGAAAGTTGGACAAAATGTGGAAAGTTTTGTTTTCTTCTTCAAACAGAGGCACTGTGTCTTTTAGGCTCCTTTACAATTGCCATAACAAATAACTGAGGGACTCATGCTCTCTGTCTGAAACTTTTGCTAAAGGATTTTCTTGGTAGTCAACAGGGAAACAAAACAAGAAGCCTACGCAGGATATTCTTGTGTCACCTCAAGCATCATTTACAGACAGATGAAAAAAAGGAGTACATTCTGCTAGGTATTATCATATACCTCAAAAACTCTCAAATTACGTCAGTGTCCAATACCTTTTGGGAGAAATAACTGCTCAGTGATTCTTGCAGGTCAGTGTGTTGGGTTGTTTGATAAACAGTAAGGCTTTCCAGAATTACAGCTGGAATGAGGACACACATTCATAATTAAACAAGGTTTCATTAATTTCTATTATTGCAATAAAACACTCTCAACATACTAACTGCATTTAAGTGTACTATTTTAAGCAAAAAAAAGATTAAAAAGATACAGAAAAAGTATTTCTAGAGTTTCAAGATACAGTAGACCATCTGTAATCAGAGGACCTTGAAGCACGCTGGCAAACTGGCAACTCTTGCAACATTTCTGTGAATAAGTTATCTCCCATCTCACAGAAGAGAATGCAGGGGAAGATCAAGGCAAGTAACCTTGCTCACATCACGCGCTACAGCTCAGTCCCAGAGCTGTGGGCAGCAATCCAACCTCACAGTTTTTACTCCCATCCTCTAACTTCCAGCCAACATAATAGGAAATTCATTTTTAATTACTCAAATTTCGTTCACAAGCTTTAGATAGAACTTTTCTCATAACTGACTAATTAAAATGAGGCTCCAAGGGAAGTTTAACCTTTTTCTCTAAGTACTGTAGGAAGTACTTCTCTTTTCAGGGCTCCACAAGGAAAAAGAAGAGCTGAGGAATTAGGTTTCTCTCCTGTAAATAAACAAACAAGAACTTTAATTAACTTATGTTTTTAATAAAGTGTAAACGTGATACATTTAATACATTTTAAAAGTATCAAATGTTGAACACTGCAGTAAATGCTGCATGCTTCATCGCAGACACAGCCCTAAGATAACTGAACACACCTGCAGTGCAACTGCATCCGCAATTCAGAGGACAGAGGCTACTTAGCATGTAAATTAAAAAATAGTCCAAAACTATAATACGAATACATTGTCTAAAAAGATCTCACAAAAGATAAACTGCATTTCTATTCCCCTTGCCATTCTACAAAGCAAGACAAGTACTGTGCAAGTTACCTCCTCCTCCTTCTTCTCAGAAACGCAATCTTCCTCAATTTTATATTTAAAATCTTAGTCCCACTCAATACATGACAACTCGCTCTATATAAAAGAATGTCCAGGCAGACAAAGAGGAGGACAGAAATACTGTGAAAAGTTTCAGTCTATCAAACTGAAAAGTTTCAGTCTATCAAAGTGTTTTCTTTCTTCCCCAAGGAAAAATGATTCCACTTCCATTGCTAGGGTGGAAGTGGATATCCTCACTTGCTCTTGTCCTTTAAAAAGGAGGAGACCTCCAACTTTAGTTATCGTTACATTGTCAACAAGTGAAAGCCCCTTGGTCATTTTGGAAGGACCTTTCTCATACATAGCTGTTTATAACTCACCTCTTGTAGGACACGATACACCTGGGGTGCAGTGCCCATAGGTTTTCTAAGTTTCTAATACGTTACCAGAGGACTTAAACAAATCCTGGTTAAAAAATGCCACCAGGTAACAGCATCCATGTCACTACCTCTTGAGTTACACCTCCTCCATTCACGCAGCCACCCCGTCCCCGCGCGCTTTGTGTACGCCAGAAGGCGGCGAGTGAAAACACCAAAAATCATCACCACATGGTGAATGCAAACACCTGGCTCAGTAAGAATGAAATAGCACTGTCTATAGGAGAGTCGCAATAATTTGCTGGATTTAGGGCTTAAACTAATTGTTCTGGAGAGTTTTTACTACTAGATTTTATCTAATAAAAGTGAATATCGACACTTTGCAAAACAGCATTGTAATTGAGGAAAAATTCAATTTTTGGATAGGAATTTAGAGCAGACTTTTTGCATGGAGTTTACTTTTTCTATAAATAACAAATACAGAGAAAATTTCAAGATTAAATTCTACACAGCGGCACACAAGACTACTAGAAAAATAAATGCTTAAGTGCTGGAAGTAGATTCTTGGTTTATAACAGTAAGCATCAGACATGCCTCAGGGCAAAGAGAGGAACAGCATCGTAAAAATAAAATGGAAAAGCCCTAGTAGGAGTCAACACATATATTTGGACTGTCCTAACTGCACACTGAGGTTTTATTAGAAGCCATAGATATGCTTGTAATAAATTACAGGGAGGAAGAACAAACTTGGCACAGAATGTAAAAGAGATTTTAAACCAGTAAGATAAAACCTAAATATTTCAGCATTAATCATCCTACAACTCATGTCAGTTAATTGAAATGTCAACGTGGTATCTGTAAAGAAACACTAATCCTTTTTGACTTGTGTTTACAAAGTACAGAAAAATTCCTTAGTAGGTCTGAACAATACAACAAGCATTGGCCCTAATGGTATCCCCTACTTCTGCAACCAACACAAATGTTACACCATAATAAAATTAAAAAAATTTGCCTTGAAAAGAGACTAAAGCTAGCTAGCTAAGTAAAGGAGTAAATTCCTTTATTTTCTCAATCACTTTAGTTGAAGTGGATACCAAAGCACAAAAGGTGAATAACAAAAGAAATAACATTACTTAAGATTTTAATTTTATTCTGACATTAAATTCTAATGATATAAAACATTTAGAACTATTCTTTTCAATTATTTACAATTTTATGCATAAACAAAAATAAACACATACATAATAGCGAGCATGATGTAATTTAATCTGTATTTCAGAGGTTGTTATAAACGAATCGATAAATTGACAGTGTATAAATATGCACAAGCCAATAAATCACTGCATATGATTATATGTATCAACAACAAGCGGTCTCCAATGACTGAAATTCACTGTTCGGTTATCGAAACTGAAAGGTATTCAAAGGCAGTTATTTTTGCAAGGATAATGGAGGTGTTGCAGCACTGTGTTAATTTAAATAGCCTGCTGGCGTTCAGGTATGAAACCGCCCTCAGGACACTCTATGTAAAAGGCTGTAAACACACAGTTCTCTCTTTCCTGGTGGTGGCTATCAGAAGCTGGTGCTGGCTCTGGATTGAGCTTCTCTGCTGTCACCAAAAAGTGCTGTTCCCTGTCTGGCTCCCTCCGTGACTGCCAGCTCCTAACCCTGCAGGAGTGTGCAGGCAACGTGGGGAAATAGCCACGGCATCAAACACGGTCAGAAGTAACAGGGTCTGTGAACCAAATAGCGCCCAGGGGAGGAGTAAAAGCCAGGATGATCCTCAACTGGACTGAGAAAATAACCAAGAAGAGGTTACAACGCACTAACTGTGCCAGTCACAGGCTCACCAAGAAGGAATTTCTCTGCTCCTGGTACTACATGCATTGTTCTCCTTAGACCTGATCCTAAGGTCTTATGACATTCACACAACAGAAGACCCAGCTATTTTTCCCATATTGCTTCTCAAAAAAACCTCCCTCTGCAAACTGGCAAACATTAATTCATTACCAGAAGCGGATTTCCTAACACCAGAAAATCAGCTAAACCCCATCTTTGTTTTAAACTATCTCCTGAAGAATAGATACGGGTTATTCTTCACTTGTGGCATTTTTGTGTTGAAAATTGCATTTTTAATTTTCATAATTTATTATTTAATCTTGTGTTGGCAACTATCATTTTTATCATGAAACATTCCGTATAGTTAAAATATTTTATTTGCCAATTACAGAGCACTCTGCCCATAAAAAAAACCAATGCTTGCCGGCTCCAATCAATTTTTCTTTTACCTATAAATCTCTGCTACTATGCAGACTTTGCTAATCAACACTCTCTTTCATATCTAATATTATGCCTAACAGCCAAAAATAACATGTCAGGGTTCTTAACATTTCCACCACTGAAGCACCAAGCACCTTATTCAGCAAGTTCATAAAGTGTGATCAGCAGTAGGGCTTTTAAACCAGCAGATACAATAATTCATCCAACATCTAGAATAATTGCACTGATTGTCATTTGTTTCTCTCACTAGGGTTAGCCAAAGGCAGACTATTTACCTTGACTGGCTGAATAACATGATTTTTCAAAGTGGACACTGCATGAGCTTCGAGATGAAGGTTTCTGTTTCCCTCTTTAAATTTCAAACAGAAAGTCCTTCAGTGAAGTACATACCTTTGTATCAGACTGAAAGCTACCCTCTAATTTCACTATGAGGCTCCACTGTACAGCTCCCTGCTTTCTCACATGAGCAGGGATGCACCCCAGGCCACATAAAAATACAGAGAAGGACCAGCTAACAGGTTGCCGCCGTGATACTGAACCTTAGGTGTGCTTTCCGTCTGGTACAAAGATTGTAACAGCAGCAAGTTTCAGACTGCTTGGGGACTAATTCTGATAACTCTTCCTCCCAGTGGATACTCAGACGGACACTTTGAAGCCAGCATGTACCTCAAGTCGTGGATCCCTTGGAACACCACCACGTGTGTCAGAAGCTCCGAGGTCAAACTCATTGCACTGCCAGCTCCTGCTTATGACATTTTCACTCTAGTTCTATAAGCCAGGCTCTAACAAAAGCACAGCCTCTTTTTTCACAGCTTGTATCGACCCATCCGCTTAAAAAATAACCAGCCCCTAAACCTACAGAGAAACCATCATTTTAACTAACCCTTTCTGTAATTTCTTCAAAACCACTCGCCTTTGACGCTGAAAAATAGATTCCTTTGAAAGCACATGTTAATTCTGAGGAAAGGAGTTCCCTTTATCTACTTCAAACTGTGCCACAGTGAAAAATCCCCAGCATCAACTGGTTTGAAGCAAGAAAAGTCAGGTCACCTGAAGTTCACAGAGAACCACACATCTGCCATCATGATCATTTAATCTTACCATTAAGCAGCAATTTCCAATCATTACAGTTCAGATTTTTAGTAAAAAAATACTTTGTCTACTGGGTCATATAGTATTTTTAATCAATTACAGAGCCTAAGATTTCATGTAAATTAATATTTTGTATAAGTATTTCAAAGTATTTTTTATCATCTCTTAGAGGTATCACCCACATTCGCAGAATTGAATTCACAGGTTTTACATATAAGAGATATATGCAGTATGTACTTCTCCGCTTCAGTGTGCATTCGATTCTATTTATAGGAAATTCTGAAACAACAGAAGGTATATTAGCTTAATTTAAGTAGAAGACTTTAGATACTTACTTGAGCAAATATATTCAGCTAATTTTTCAGCATTTCCAGACTTTTCTCCTTGTGGAGTAAGGCCAATTTCTTCCACTATAAGCAAAAGTAGCAAAGGAAAATATTGCAATCAACGAGAACAATTCAGATTTACTGTCACACAAACATGAGTTGAAGAGGGAGACACAACTTGATCCAAGCACACAAATCCTTCTTTGAAAAGAAAAAAAAAAATTACAGCACTTGGAAGTAGTAACATGCTATGAAAAATTCGATTTTGGCTCGAGAAAGGCATACATGAAAAAAGTACAAATGAAGAATGCTGGGGATAGCTAAGCTGCTTTGGAGAGTTTTAAACTCTCGTAGAAACAGAAAGCACTGCCTGACTATGCTGAATGGGCTGCAGCTCCTGGCGTGGTTTGGTTGCAGCTAGCTTCCCAATCAGTGTATGTACCACCGTTCTTTCTAGTGAAGGCCGAAATCCTACTGGAAAACCTGAGAGTATAACACTGCTCTTATCTCAGCAAGTAAGCAGGGATAAAATGAATCCCTGAGAAGTTAAGTAATTTGGGACTCGATAGATTGAAGATGCTTGTTAGGTGTCACCAGTTGGTGATCCAGTGTTGTTACCAGCCTGCCTGAAAAAATATGCCAGTACTTATCCAAATTATTTTTGGACTAGAAGCAGAAAAACATCAAGACTTTTAAAATTCTCAAATACTAGTCTTTTCATTATATTCCTGTGTACTTCAATGTAAGCTAAAGCTACAATGCCATTTTACAGTAAGAAAGGCTTTCACAAACAAAACCCTATCTTGCATTTTTGTTATGCATCAAAAATATATATTGCATCAGAGTTAAACCAGTGTTAAGACAAATAAGCAGCTGGCCCACTGAAGTCAACGGGAAGTACACTGCTGACTTCTGCTTGGCAAATACCTCAGAGGAACACTGAGGGGAAGATGGGCCAGTGCATCAAACTTCATACAATCTCAGACAATCATGCTATAATCCCTTTCATCCAATTTCATTTCCAAAGTGAATGAAAGAAACCACAAAAAATTAAAAACAAAAGTGTTTTTTGATTTTTGACCAAATTTCTATAGTTACCATCACATTACAATAAAAGTAGTGGTAAACCAGAAGCTAGATCCTTAGCTGAAGTAAGCATGTATAGTTCTAATGTGTATACAATTACCTGTCTTCAAAATTATCCTTTCATAAAACTTACTTTTTTTTCCCTGAGCACCCCTGAATAGCAGCTAATACTCCAAAAATTGTACTTAAAAAGACAGATTTATCTAAGACTTCTTCTTTTAAACCCCATCTTACCTAAAGAAGCTGTAGCTTTTCCTACCACATATGCTGGTTTGGTATTCCACCTTTGTTTAAGATATTTTGACCAGGCTGAAAAACATTAAATTAAATTTAAGCATGTGGCAACAAAGTACGAATACTAAATGAGTATATCGGCTTCTGTTTAATCTACAAATACAGCAAAATAATAATAACTAATACTCTACTACATTTTTCAGCAAAACTGAATGCACAAAATGAATTTTTAATGTATTTTTTCATTGTGTAAATAGCAGTCTACAACATGTTTTTAGAAGTTTAGTAAACAGTTCTTAGCTGCTTTTGTTAAATAGCATTTTTAATGCACACTTGCGCTATGCCAGATCACATGCAACTTGCAATGTTCATTTATATTTTGGCATTAAGAACTTAGCAAAACTCATAGGAAAAAAAGGCACACAGTACAAAGGGAGATTCAGACATTCAAACTGGTGGTTTAAAATGGAAGGTTTAGGCAAAAACCAAATATAATATTCTATGACACCAAACAGAAGGGTAAAAATCTATATCCATGCACTACAGTACTCTATAAAGCAACTCTTTCTTATACAAGAAAAATATAGAAACTGATTATATTTTAAACATACACCAAAAATAAGTTATCAGCTCAGAAATAAAATCTACCTGAGGTCAAAATAAAATTACTAGGAAATGGTTCTCCTCCTTCATGCAGAAAGTATGTTACAGATTACACCTCTTGGTTCTAGCTACCTGATCCCTATGCCTGAAATCCTAATGGATCAAAATAGATACACTAAGTCTTTTACTCTCTTGTCTTAAAACAGTACAGTGTAAGACATTGAGTTCTTTTCTAGTATTCTTGGGGGAAGAAAGATAGAAATAGAAACTACAACAGTATAAAAAAAATCAGAGGAAATTATTCTAAAGGAGGAAAAAGGTAAGGATTGACTATATTCGAAAGGAATCCAAATAGGAACTAAAGACTAATTTTATTGATTAAATTATGTATTTCAGAAGCTCTTGAAAGTCCTAATCAAGATTAGGGATGAACTCTAGATAAGAGATTACATTTGACCAAAAATCCTAAAATATAGCCCTCGGCTGTTGAAAATGCTAAAATAAGCTAACAGTCTATTTATTGCTTACTCAAGAGTGTAACCTTATTCACTGTACATTCATTAGTATGACCACAGCCCAAATATGGAGCAGATAAAGTACTAAAACAATTTAAATGTACATTGAAAGTCAAAGCCAGAAGTTATCACTTAGCCTAAGAATCTAGAAGAGTTTACAAGGATTTGATAGGCCATTGGTATGGTAATTTCTATTTAGCACTCTGCAGGATTTTTACAACTCATCTGTTGACTTTATGTATCACCATTTCTTCACTGCTTTTTAGCTAATTCTTAATTCACTTGAGAAATTTTATATTCAAGATAGAGAAATCTCTTTCTCTGTAAGACTTCATATGAATTATATAGGCATAGGAGCAGCAGTGGCCAGTTGCTATAACATGCTCCGGTCTTTAAGCGGGGAAAGTAGTTACTCAGCAAAACTAGGCACTGCAGCAAAATATTCCTTATGCATGATATAACCACAACTGAAAATGCTCACACTAATTAGTAATTTGCACCAAAACCTCTTTCCTTTCATTTTTAACAGCAGCATAAGCGTGGAAAACCCTTAAAAGCTCAATTTAGCATGAGGCCTTTATAATGCCAAAAGAACTATGAGATAAAGCGTTTTTAAAAGGCATACTCTAAACACCTACAGGTGGGTGAAATAAAATTACAAACTTCACACAATACTGAAACAGAAAGACCAAGAAATAGAAATATGCACTCACCTTCATTTTTACTATTCTCTTTTAAACATATCTTGATGGCTTCTAATGCTCTTGGACTAGTAAAAACTAGGCCTCCATAACATTCTGGATGAGAAAGCTACTTACAAACAGTACATTTAAGAATAAAAAGAAGAAGAAATAAATTAAAAACTAAAATTCATCAATTCTTTATAATCTTGTGAAGAACAGAACAGCTTCAATAAATGTCTGAAACTGAAATGGGCAAATATTTCATTACTATCAGTAGCCAGAGTATTTATAAGAGAAATGTATAACAAATCTCAAATTCAGAACAAAACTTGCACAGATTATATTAATTCTGAGAATCTGTAGGAACAGACAAGGATTCCCTGAATGAAATGAGCTGGAAGGATGGGAAAAATGACACATGAAGTACGTACAGATTCATACAAGAGACATGAACTGTTATGCCAAGTAGTTATTCCAAGTAGTAACACTGAGGGTACTACTCAGACAGCTCCTTGCCCCCTGCCCCCTCAGTTAAGATTACTAAAGGGATCTCAAAGACCAGTACAAAAAAAAGGAAAAATGTTCTTGGATCACTTGTAAATGCAAATCACAATACATTCAAATACCTAACAAACTTTGGTGCTGTTGGAGGTTGTTGATAAAGGGAACCTCCCTTGGAAAACCTTTTCAATGTTTTAAAATTAAATATATACGTTGAAGAAAGAGTAGAAAGAGAACACCGATAATGCAATTTTATTGCATGTCACTAGGAGATGTAGTACACAGTTTCAGTACAACATAAGGATGAACCTCAGCTAACCTTTAGTTGTCACTACAGTGTTCTCATTTTTTGTTGTAACAAAATGCCCTAGTACCTGTGACTATCTATGGTCCATCAACCTAAACGTGAATTCTATCTGACCAACTTAATTCTTTAACAAGTATGGGCAACGTACTTGATGTTGTATACAATACTGTATTATAGATAACCGTGTTTGTGGAAACACAAAAAGAGGTACCACAAAGGGCATTATTAAATCAAGATAAGACATGGCATCTTGGCAACCATGGCCTAAATTCTGTTGAAAATAAGACAACTGAAATAATTTCAAACTTACCTTTTCAAATAAACTTTCTAGAGATATGAATTCAAATGACAAAACTGGAATCAGAGTTGCTTCAAATCCATATAATCCTAATTCCTACCAAAAAAGGTTTACAGCTCTTGAAATAAAGACTTCAAACAGTAGTGTTTCCTTTTTCAAAGAACTAAGCACAAATATTTCTTTTTACTAAAGTAAAATACAAAGGCATCTTACTTGCTTTTACTACTGAATCTAAGTTTGGTTTTGTTATTTAGTATTAGAATATAACACTAAACAAACAGCTGTGGAACTGAGGCCTCATACACAGCTACTGAGTAGTTACAGTATAACCCAGCACATAATCCTGACCTCCCTAAGTGACAAACGATCACCTAGTCTTGCAAATATTCCTATATGTCTCTGTAGTTCTTTAAAGTCAACAGAACTGCTCTTATGAGCAAGATCTACTCACACAACTAAAGGCAGTAGCAGAAAGGACCACAGCAACAGGTAACCTCTTTTTCACATTACATTCCCAGTAAAACTACTAACATTTGTAATCTTAATTCTATCCGTATGAACATAATCAATATTAATTAATTAAAATGAAATTGGTTTAATATCAATACTTTGCTGCGAGCTTTAACAGTGAATTCAGTACAAATGCCCCCTAAAATATTTTTTCAGTAACAGCAAATTTCTTAGCATTATTTCAGTCATGCACTCCTAATTTTGATTAAGCACATTTTTCACTTGAAATAGTTACATTCACCTATCTTGCTGAACGCATTATTTAATAGTGGATTAACACAATTGTTTACTTTTTTTAAAGTTTACTCACTTTAATATAGGGATCTGGTCCTGAATCTTTGTCTTTGGGATCCTTCAGCAACAGAACCTTCATTGTTTACCAAATAACTGCAGAAGAACTCTGAAATACAACAAAGGAATTTATCTAAATTAGATCTAGAGGACTTTCTACTGAACAGTGACTTTAATAGCTCAGCTTCTAAGCAACTGGGTTGCTAACAGTTGCACTGCTCTCTATACAATGAGTAAGCAGTTAACGTACCTTCTCTGGGCATGAATATCCACCCTGATAAGACCAACAAATAACATGCTGTCTCTAGATAACACCGCTTAAGGGAGAAACTATAATGAAAGTCATCAAAGGAGAATGCATTTTAAAAAAGAATATTTTGTAAAAGAAGTACAACCCCTACAACGTGGTCACATTCAGCAATTTAATAAGCTCCTACCTATACTCTACTCTATTCTAGTCTATTCACTTCCATGCTAGTTTCCACCTGACGCTCATCACAGTGAGTATGCAAGGGCTTATGTATCAAGTGACTTAATTTGATGGATTTTGGTGTCTCATCCTTTTCATGGGGGAAAACGTGCAGGGCAGTGTTTCAAAAATTTAAAAAAAAATACAAACATGTATATACACACACATTTATACATATGTATATAATATATATAATATTCATAGGCCTTCTTTGATATATCTATAGTAAACAAAGCAAGACTGAAAAAATATATTCTGCAATTACAATGGAAGATGATAGTTCTCGGTTCCTTAAAAGTTGACTTTGGTGCTGAATTGAAAGCCTGTTACAACATGTAAGCAAATATACCAAGCATCAAGTAAACAAATGCAATAATACAAACAAACATAAACCCATTCTCTAACTGCACATTTGCCTTAATTATCTATATGTTACTTTCCTAACAGATCACATACTAGCAAATTCTCTTTAAAATTACTGATTATGAATATTCAAATGTAGAGAACATCTTAAATTTTATTCATTTGCATGATATGCATTGAAATCCTCAAAACTTCATCAAAGTCAAATAAACCTGTTCAGACAAAAATAAAAAGAGGAAAGAGAAAAGGCAGCTTTAGACAACAGTAGACAAACCACGATCTGGTACAAGTAACCGGTGTAACTTGTGAAACTCAGTGTCACACATTCATCTCTAGCCAGAAGCACTGCAAAATGGAGGTGGTGAAAAGGGCACCCAAAGCATCACCCCCAGGAACTCAATATCTGACTGTAACACTATGTTAATTTAAACTTCATTTTTTTAATCTAGGTTTTAAAATGTGGTGTCATAATTGCTGTGGTTGATTCTGAACATCTTACCATTAGACATGGAAGTACTAATTTCCACAAGACTTCCAGCACTCAAAATTGACACAATGAGAACTGATAGGGCTTTTGCACTTCTGAAATACCAAGGCCAGAGAAGTCAAAGGGACTGACAAACATGCACACAAAAGAAGAATGAAGGACTTTGTTGAGGGCTGTATTCTCAAAAATTGTAATTCTTGCTAATTTCAGACTACAGCAAATGCCAAAGTAGCTCCCATCCATGGCTTTCAAGAGTTAGACTCCCAAATACTCCTGAGTATCCAGTTGCTAGTAGTTTGAAGGAGAATCATAGAATCACTAAAGTTGGAAAGAACCTTCAAGATCATCAAGTCCAACCATTAACCCAACACCACCATGCCCCCGAAACCATGTCCCGAAGCCCCACATCCACACATTTTTTGAACACTTCCAGTGATGGTGACTCCACCACCTCCCTGGGCAGCCTGTTCCAATGCTTGCCCACTCTCTCGGTGAAGAAATTTTTCCTAATATCCAATCTAAACCCCCCCTGGTGCAACTTGAAGCCATTTCCTCTCATCCTGTTCCTTGTTACTTGGGAGAAGAGACCAACACCCACATTGCCAGAACTCCCTTTCAAGAGGTAGGGCTAACTGACTTCTCTCAGTCATTTTGACACTGTAACAGTCTTATCTTTAAAAATCCAACATTCTTGTAAAAACATACTTTGCAGGTAGTTCTTTGTCATATAGATTGTTATTCTGATACTCATGCTACTAACAATCCTTACTGTAACTCCACCTTCAGTGCCTATGCTCTAGAGTATGATACACTTACATTTCTACTGGTACTCATAAAAGTCTAACAGCACCAAGAAAAATATTAACTATTTAAAATATTAACCTACCATACCCTCCTATTTCCAAAATATATAACATTTAATAATATTAAGAAGTCATCAAAACATACATGTAAAAAAAAAAGTAAAAATCCTTCCAAACTGATTAATACAAGTTAATAATACTTTTTTGAAAGAGCAATTTCCAAAAGTATTGTAAGAAAAGCCCCAGATGACATGAGCGAGTAAATTCAGATACACCTGGAGAAAGCAGATTTCTAATTAGTTAGTTAGAAATGAATTAACTTCCCATCCTATGCCTTATTACTGTGTCAAGTAATGAGTAACAGTAAGAAATGGGTAAACATCCATGCTTGACAAGGTGACTTATGATAATCACATTAATTATTTTGTTTAGAACCTGCAAACAAAATATATACTGAAACCAAAGAATAATTACAAAGTCATAAAATATAATGAACTACTGCAAGATGCAATTACCTAGCTGTCTCCTCTACAAAGAAATCATACAAGCAGTACTTTGGACTCAGCCATCTTGTAAAAAGAGCAAGCCTGCACAGCCCTGGCACTCCTAGAAGCCACTGGCTTAGTGTTGATTTTGCCAGAAGGCAGCCTGTTTATCGAGTCCAAAGAGGGGCTGCAAGTGTCCAACATAGAGAAATTTAACCCAAGGAATCTGTAAGTTTGTGCATTCATGAATAACATGTATTTTGATCTGCATCTACCCTCTGACTGCTTTTGGTTTTAGTGCTGAAAAAATTATTCTCCTTTTTTGCAGCCATAAACCTCTCAGACCGTTCTGTTCTTTCTGCCTATGTAGTTCAGACAGGTTCACACAGATTTGGTGACAGGCATGATGAACTAAAACCTGGTGGAATACACCGATTTCCAAATGCCAGGTGGTCACACCCAACACTATGGGTTCAACCCAACCAAACTCACTTTCTTAGCAAGTGTACCCCACCACCACATCACTGTGAATTGGGGCAAAATGCCATCTTAATGGGCAGGCAGGAGAGAAGGCAGACAAGATCCCAAAGAGGGACAAGCACACATGAGCACATCTTCAAACCAATGCCAATATGCCTTCAAAGGGTGAAGAAGTTAAAACTCCACAATGGATACTTTTTGAGAGGAAAAAACATACAGAGCCATTTTTGTGATTTGCTGCAATGATGCGGGGGTCTCACTGCACCGGGAATGGAGAAATACAGTATTTTTACTCGTTTACTTGTGTCCTTGAGATGTTACTAAGGAGTGCCCTACAACTGACTTAAACACCATTTTCTAGAGTCAAGAACCCTGACAAACATTCCTATTGAATCAAAGAGCGTTAAGGGAAAGCACATGAATGAGACATGCGCATCTTTGGTAATTTTTGATGTAATCTGAGGGAAGTACTTACAATACAAAGATATATTTTAGATATCTTACATATTTTATCTATAAATTATATATTATATATTTAATCAACAGAGGTCTGTCAAACTTCTAAATAGCCATAAAAAGTTTCTATTTAGAGCAATGAATGGACTTATCAGAGTGCAGCAGTTTTCAGTCTATATCTGGAAAAGAGAATGTGTATGAATAACCTCAGTAAGTTTTACACTGCCAAGTCTTTGTTTATAGGATGATGCTGGCCACCCACTTTCGGCTCACTAAACAAGACCTTGTTTGCCTGAGCACCAGTACCAAACCTGCAAAGACTGCTCTTCAAATGTGAAAAAAATACCATTTAAAACCCATTAGGCTTGCAAACAGCTAATAAGAGGACAACAGATTTTTCTGTCTTGTGCACACAAGATGAAGAAAAACTTGTATTAGTCAGTCTGAGGTTTGGGAACCATCCAATTAGCTCTGATAAAAAAACTACAAGAGCGACTGCAGTGTCTGAGGCATTATATCATGACCAAAGGCTAAAACCAGCTTGGTGCTATTTCTCTGAGTCCACATTACTTAATTCTAAGTCCACCTTACTTAATTTAGAAGAAGGGTAATTTTAGGTCACATTGCATATTCAGAGTATTATGCTTACAGACATAATTGAAATGTTTCCTGTTCACAGCATCACAGAGTAAAATTCAACATCCCTGTGCCTTCAATTAAAACATAAAGCTCATTACAATGTTGTATCCCTGATAACAGTACAGTAAAAATGAGCAATACTCTCTCATGTTGAAAAAACCTTTGCATATTTTTTTCATAAAACATTGTACAGAAAGAACATCTCTGTGCGTCACTTGACTTTAATTTCAAAAGCTGTCCCCAAACTAATTGTGAACTATCCTTAATACAGAGGACAGCTTGTAAAAAGAAATAAATGGCTCCTTTTGTTTCTTACTCCTAAGTGACACCAAGGGCTGCAAAACACATTAAAATTTTCTAATACTATTCTGATTATACGGAACTGTATGGTTCACACAATGAGGTTTGATTGCCAAGTGCAAAGGGAATTGTCTGTTCCATCATAAACATTAATGGAGATGAATTATAAGATACTATTGACATGATTTTTAAAAAACTTCTAAAAATCCCTGGGCTAGGATTTTTGACGCCATGCATTCCTTACCAATGTTCTTTTACTATGATTAGATGGGTTTAACAACGAGAGAAGGAAAAAAGCCTACCTGTAAGGCTGTCATGAAGTATGGTTCAGTAATCTATCCAATTCACAGATAATATAATACATATATCATCAAGTAACAACAATTAAAAAAAAGGGGATTTGAAAATAATTCCTGCTATTAGAGTGTCTATGTCACAAACTCAACAACAAAACTGGTTCTTTGACATGGCAATCCAGAGGACCAGTAAAGGGACTCAGACCTTTCTACTACATCATGGATTTTTACCAAAAGCAATGTTGGTAATCAGTGTCATTCTTGACTGCAATAGTTTCAAAAATAAAATGGAAAACTGTACCCCACAGAGGCAGTTTTACTGCAGCAAAGGGCT